AAAGCCATACCTTATATTGAATAGGCTGGGTGTGGAGAACCCACACTGGACATGTGGCATATAGAACATTAGAGAAAAGTTTCTAAAAACCCTGCAAAGAAACAATAAGGCTGCATAAAAATATGACAGCTTATAGCTGCAAAGCATTCAAGGAAAAGCAGCAGGATTTGGAGCTGCACATATCCAGCTGCAACCTCAACTAATATGAGAGTGAACTAAAGAAACTTCCAGGCACAGAAGGCCCCAGGGAGGTTTCCCGCACACAGTCCCTCTTTGGAAGCACAGTCTGGAGGAGGCCAGAAGGGTCAGGAAGGTCTGGAGACCATGGGGAAGATAACCTCTGACCCTAAGTACAGAAGGACTAAACACTGGAAATATAAGAACTGAAGGCATAACATTACAGCTAGCAGAAAAAGTCCCACCACAGGAGATGCGGTCACAGGAAAGCTCAGGAAAGAGTATTTCTCGCGGCTCTGAGCTCGGTGAGTAAAGTCTGGCTAAAAGTACTAAAAGAAGATACTCAGAGATAAGCTTTCATTAAGAAGTCATTAATATAGTATCCATAAGAGGCACAATTAAAAGTGTAAACAAGGGAGTTCCAGTCAAGACAGCGGAATAGAGGGTTTGCAACGTCACTCTCTCCCATAAATCAAATAATTTACAACTATAAAAATGTAACATCAGCCAAGCTGGGGCCGCTGGAACTCAGGGGAAGAGGAGAAGAGACATACGGAGTTCATGAAGGTGGGAGAAACCACGATGAGATAAAGAAAAAACTGCTCTCAGAGTTTTGGGCCACAGCCGCTTTAAGGCTGGAGCTGATAAGCACATGAAGCAGGAGCTGGTAGAAGCTGCAGCTGTGCCCTTCAGATGGAGCTACTTGGAGGTAGCAGGGGAGAAGATGGCCTTGGTGGCCCCCAGGACAGCAACACCACTAATAGGGTTCCCGTGGACCCATGCAGGAGCGGGGAGCCAGAACAGCTGAAAAAAGGGAGACATTCAGAGGCCAGTGAGTCATCGCAAGGGACCTGCGCAGTGCCCATCCCATGGAAGTGTTTGGAGCATGGGTGGTGGGGAGACGGGACCACTGGGAGAACACTGAGACACAGCAAGGACACCTAATCCACCCCCCAATCAGCACAGGACCACTCAGAGGAGACTGGTCGGGAATGCAGAATTGCATGGGGTATATTTTGATGAAAAAACTCAGGCCCAGATCTGAATTTCTACACAACCCAGGTGCACATGGTCTCTGGAGAGCCAGAACTACCTATAAGATCAACCATTAAACCCTGAGCAGCACAAAAAGCCTTCCCTAGGGAAACAGTAGCAAAGCAGCAATTTAGCTCAACCACATAGCTCAAGTACTGGTTCCCACAGGAAGTTCCCCCATTTTAGAAGCAAGCAAAGGACAAAAAATTAGTTTTAGCCCAGGCACACCATTAACGCATTGGGGCCCACCAGGGGACATGAGGCGTGGAGCTGGGGACTGGACCCCCACCCACAACCACTCACACCACCAGGGCCTCAGTGTCTGCCCAGGAAAATGAGGTTTGGAGCCGGGGACTGGATCCCCCCCTCCCCAGCCCACAACCAGGCACACCGCCAGTGACTTGGGGCCCCACCTGGGGACCCAAAGCATGGATAAGGGGACCGGATCCACCTCCAACAACCAGACACACTGCACCAGCACCTCAGGGCCCACCCGGGAACCCAAGGCATGGAGTTGAGGACTGGACCTCCCTCCCACAACCAAGTACACCACACCAGTGCCTAGGGGCACACCTGGGGACCCAAATCATGGAGAAGAGGACTGGATCCCCCTCCCACAACCAGACACACCGTGTCAGCACCTCAGGGCCTGCCCGGGGACCTGGGGCATGGAGAAGGGGACTGGACCCACCTCCCACAACCAAGCACAGTGCACCAGCACCTAGGGGCCCGCCCGGGGACCCAAGGCATAGAGCCAGGGACAGGACCTCCCCCTCCCACAACCAGGAACACCGTGCCTGTGCCTTGGGGCCAGTCTGGGGACCCGAGGCAGGGAGAAGGGGACAGGACCCGCCTCCCACAACCAGGCATACTGTGCCAGCACTTCAGGGCCCACCTAGGAACCCGAATCATGGAAAAGTGAACCAGACCCCCCTCCCACAACCAGGCACACTGTGCCAGCACCTTGGGACCCACCTGAGGTCCCGAGGCATGGATCCAGGGACCAGACACTCCCCACAACCAGGCAGGCTACCAGCACAAAAGAGCATGCCAAAAACATCACCTCTGTGTAGGTGGCCCACCACAGCCACCAGTATAACCATGGCTGCTGTGAAAGCAGGTAGATGCTACAATCACCATGCAGATGGTCCGCCAGCCACTGGAGTACATTTACACAAGGAGAGTCACCAGCTGAGATAAAGAAAAGAAGAGGACATCTCTCTCCACAAAGCCCATTTCAGAGTGACAGAAGAAGCATCTGCTCTATGGTAATATTGGGGGACCTGATCACACCTCTCAGCATTAAATAGATCATCTAGGCAACAAATCAACAGAGTAACCATTATTCTTTCAGAAGGAGAGAAGAAATATCTAGGGTAATTAGAGGGGGGAAGAGGGAGGGAGAGGGGGATGGGGAGAGATTGGACAAGGAGCATAAAGAATAATTACAATTTCTAACAATATATATGCTAGTAATATTGATTTGATCAACAT